ATTAAAATATGCGTACAATTATTATATACAAATTGTTTACATGCGTATACATATGTTGATAAGCGTATGTAAAATTTGTAAAAAATGGGCGCCCACTGACATACACTGAGAGAAAAATGTATGATATTTGGAACTATAATAACATAGTAAAAAGATTATAGTTAGGAATATAATTTTTATAGTAAATGTCACTATAATGTTTGTAATATTTACGATATAAGCATAGTATAATTGACCCATGTAAAACTTTTACCAAGAATTATAATTATTTGAAGTAAAAAGTATAGTAAGGTAGCAAATATTGAATAGTAAGAGAAATTAACTATTTTATATAGTCAATACAATTGGAATATTTGGCAAATATAGGTACATGTAACTATATTCCCAAAGTGTGCTTTACTATACATATAGAGTAATAAAATGGTGACTATAAATCTGTGTTCATTTTGCTATATCTTCATGTTTAGATGAACTATAAATATATGTTTGAAGCCAAAATAAACTATAAAATATAGTGAGATTATAGTTATTCCAATTATTTTTTTCTCTCAGTGTAAATTGCCGAATCGTCCCAAGCCTCAAAATGCTTTTCTGCTCAGGCAACACGCCGTTCGAAAGGAGAGACGGACAAAAGAGAACGCGATAATTTGCCGCTGGCTCGTGTCTATCAACTCGATGGTGATAAGATAAGAATAGATACAGGAAGACTATTCATCTTTGTCTAAGAGTGTAATCCATTAGACGCTGCAAGTGTATTCAAACGCCAGGCAGCATGCTGGCATTGATGACACTGTGCGCCATTTAGTGAACACCAATTCAAGAATTTTAACACAAGAAGTTACTGAGAAGCTAAACGTTGACAGATCAACCATATTTTGGCATTTAAAGAAACTTGAATACAATTTAAAGCTCGATGTTTGGATGTCACATAGTCTGACAGCAAAGAATAAAATGGACTGAGTCTCTACGGCCAATTCATTGCTTGGCCAACTGAAAACCGATCCGTTTACTCATCGTTCTAGAAAGCGTACTAAAAATATATTTTTGACATCTATTAAATACTTATGATATCGAAGAATTACATTCTATTTATGAAAGTTTTCTGTTAATACTTATAACTTTTTAATAAACAACGAGCGATGGCTAAAATCTATTAAAAGTTACTCGGAATAATAATTTTTTAAATATATGTAAAATATATGTAAAAAATATATATACAGGGTGCGGCGCCAAAATCCGGACAAATTATACATTTTTTCCAAATATATTTTTTATTGCAAAAACAAAAAGGTTTATAAAATTTTTTTAACCACATTGTAAGGCCATAAAGAACACATTTACTCAATATATCCCCCGCTTGCTTGAATGACCGCCTCCATTCTCAGTCTGAAGCGTGCGCAGGCGCGCTTTAATGTGTCACGGTCCATATCGGTGAATGCCGCTTCAATAGCGGCTCTAAATGATGCGACGTTTGGATGTCTGGACTTGTTCGTGACCCTTTCAACTACGCTCCATACATAGAAGTCCAAAGGATTCAAATCTGGGCTGTTGGGAGGCCAGAATTCTTTCGACCAAAACATGTCGACGTTGTCCGACAACAAATTTTGCACCAAATGACTTGTGTGGGCGAGCGCATCGTCCTACTGGAAAACATACGGCTTTCCAGACGATACAATTTCCATCCACGGCTTCACTACATTTGTCAGAACACGCAAATACTTCTTCTTGTCAGAATACGCAAACTTCTTTTGTGACATTTTCCCCTTTGTTAAAGAAATGCGGTGGCATGATATCACCCTCACTGGATGATGTTGCAAAACCTCCGTTGGACTTCTCCGACTCATTGTACTTTGCGATGACATCATACACAGTCGATTTCGGGTACCCGAAGAACCGAATAATTTCTGTCGCCGAGCACCCAGCGCGAACACTTTCGATAATCGCAGCTCTTCGGTTATACTCCGCACTTGGTTTCAACATTGCGACTGTTTCGAGGTTATGATGGTTTAGTACATGCATCAAGCAATTTGAACGCTAATCGCGACATCTACTAGTGGTATAGAACGGCGAAAATTTCAAATCGAATTTTGTCCGGATTTTGGCGCCGCACCCTGTACATGATCTTTTTTTTTGGAAATGTCTCCCTTAAACATGAATTTTACTTTCTTAATAAATAATATTAAATTATCAGGAAGCATATACTTGCATATAAATCTTTTACGTAGACATGTATTCCCAAGTAGCACAGAGAATTCAAATAAAATTCAAGAAGAATTCAGTCATATCCCAGACAGCACAATGTCCAAAATCGGGTCATAAGACGTCTTATGACTCGATTTTGGACATTTGTGTCTGGGATGTCACCAATTCTAAGAGTTCATTTCAGATGCAAAAAGAATTCTTCAGAATTTAGTTCAGTGAAAAGAATTCATTTTGCATCTAAAAATGAACTCAGAATTGATAATATACGACTGAATGTTTTTTTAATTTTCTGTGCTAAGTTATTTTATATGCTATTTTATATGCTATTGCCCTTGACAATGGTATCATATTATATATCAGGTTACCCTAGTCGAAATTTTGACCCTATGTTAAACCTTGAATTCTACACCGCAGTAGAAGCTAAGATAGCAAAGTAGGTTTAATTTTAATGATATAATTTACTCCTACCTTGAGCCTGATAATGAAATTTCCGCTTTCGCTTTCTTTAGCGTTAAAGTAGGTATAATAATAGGATTTTAGGAACTAAAGTAGATTTAGTTGCGAACCTCTATTGAAACTTTAGCTCCTGTATAGAATATATGTATTTTATAGAATTCAAGGTTCAACATAGGGTCAAAATTTTGACTTGGAAGTGTCAATATCGTCAAAATAAATTTTACCTAGATTATAGATTATCTAAGTAGACTCAAACTATTTTTAAAAGCGTCAAAGTAGCGTCAAAATTTTGACAAGGTAAAGTTAAAGGTTCAAAAGAGAAGTTAATGAGTATCAATATTGTCAAAGTAGATTTTATCTAGACTATAAACCGTTTAAATAGGCGCAAACTATCCTTAAGAGCGTCAAAGTAGCATCAAAGTTTCGACTCAGGTATAACGCTATCAAAATTCCGCAAACTTACACCGCGGACATTACATAAAAATCATTTATATAGACATATATTGTTTCATCAAAAGAATCCTCTCATGGTTCCTATGTTTTCTATGTCTACCACAATATTGTGTACTTATTGCTCGCTATCCAAACGTCATACATTAGCTTCGGTTTTGTGGCTTATGTGCGTCTTTATTTTACTCCATTTTCCCGTTGTCGCGGAAATTGCACACACATCATCTATTCATCTTCCTTGAAAGAATTGATCGATATCAACGCGATAGCGAAGACGTGAACGCAAATATCTTATATATGTTCGAGAATATACAAGATTATTCCAGAGATATTGTATGATTTGGAAATATATAAAAATCTCTTTATTTAATAATATTAATACAGATATAGGTCATGCTTTCATAAATATATTCAGACTTCGATACGATTACAACGGAGGACTTTTATTTGAGTACACCGATGGTCAACATGCCATTATGCAGTACAGTACTATGTAATATTTCCGTATGTAATTATTTAATAATATACAAATAAATGTATCCGCAACTCACAAAAAAAGACAGACAACCTTTCTGTCCGCGACTGTACTCATGGACGGTAATGGCATCAGTTCTTTTTCCGGCACATAAGTTTTCTGCAGACACGAACTTACTTGTCGAGGTACCGGAACAGAAAAGAACCAATTTCCGCCTGACGAGTAGCCGCACATGCCAATCACGTGCAAGATCATCTCTCTCTGTCTCTCTCATACACACACATACTCAAGTAAACTCGCACATTCTTCCCCGCACGTGCGCATGTTGAACACTATTAGCTTGAATTATTGTTTTTGTTCTCAGGCGTACATGCGGACTCCGACAGAATCACTTTTGCAAACTAATGGCTTCTGCACACAAAACATGGAAACGCTTGCCACGTAGCAGAAAGTAACACAGTAGCTAATAATCTTCTAGCTTCTATGGAAAAACGGTACTTTAATTGGCTACCGCGTCGTTTCTTGAGGCAAGCGTTTCCGTGTCCTTTATGCAGAAGCCATAAGTACATATGTATACATTTGTATACGCACGCACTTGCGCGAACGTTCGAAGACTGCAAATTACCAAGGAATGTGTAACGACACTTAATCCTTTTTCTTTTTTTTCTCTTTACAAGCGGCGGTACGGAACATTACGGAACTACAAAGTGAGATCGCACCACCTACACTCAGAGATAAATACTTACAGCAATATAAACTTATACCAAATAGTAACACCAAATAATAAACATGTTTTATCGAATCTTTAGGTGACAGTGACGCAGATACTCGGTTCATGATGATCACAAGAAACATAAACTTTCCGCTTCAATAATTAAATATTCTAAGCACTTGTCTATATATCACACTAACTATGGCTCCATAAGAATTAGAACGGTAAAAATCATCTGAGTCCATAGATTTTCCGTAAAGAAAACTTATATAATTATAGTACAACAAAAACGAATAAAACTTTAAGACTCTTAGCCTCTCGCGTTGTCTATCTTTTTTTGATGACGTCAGAAGCGAGAAAATGCATGCTAAAAATTCTTGCGAAATACGTTAAAATAAAAATATATATCCATAAAGTAACACTTGCAATTAAACAAATTTGTAAGATATTCCGTGCACTCCCCTTTTGCTCTAACAATCAATAATTTATTGTAGATTAACCTGAATAGAAATAGGCGAAGAAATATGTTAAGAAGAGGAATTGTATGTCACGTTAGTTTACGACAAATTATTGATTAGAGCAAAAGAGAAATGCACAGAATATCTTACAAATTTATTTAATCGATTGTGCAAGTGTTATTTTATGGATATATATTTTTATCTTAACGTATTTTGCAAGAATTTTTAGCATGCATTTTCTCGCTTCTGACGTCATTAAATAAAAATAGATACGGGGCCAGGAGCCTTAAAAGATAAACTTCTAATCGACTTAGATATTAAAATTCAATCCATCTTACATGACAGCCTGAAAAATTGTGTCTTGACCTAATTATTAAGACACGCTTAGTTAAAAACAATGAAACTTATATATATTCGTAAAAGAACTGAAAAATTCACCACGGGGACGATATTCCTTGCTATTTATGACTCATGTATATCAAAATCTATCTGCTTTACACTTTAAAACGAAAAAGAAAGGTCCTCATGAAAGGTCCTCACGTTTCGCGATTCTCGACTCGACCTTTGATTCAGAGTAGGATCGTATGCACTTTTTCATATTTTGTGATTAATTATAACATTTAATAATAGAATAATCCTAATAAAATTTATACATAAAAATAAAAATAAAATCGATCTTTTGTATCAATCTTCGCTACACTCGTTAATATCTAATACGTTACAAGGACATAAAATAAACAAAAGTACAATATATAACATCTCGTGACAAAAGAAAACAAATAAAACAACACAACAAAAACGAAAAATGTTGCATTCGTTCTCTTTGCTTAACTATATTGAAGTGCTTGGCACTTGTGGGACAACAATAAGCTGTTTTACAAATGTGTGTGTGTGTCCGTTACACGGACATAAAATAAATAAAAGTACAATATATAACATCTCGTGACAAAAGAAAACAAACAAAACAACAAAACAAAAACGAAAAATGTTGCATTCGTTCTCTTTGCTTAGACTATATTGAAGTGCTTGGCACTCGTGGGACAACAATAAGCTGTTTTACAAATATGTGTATGTGTCCGTGTATCTTAATACTAAAATATTTATATGTGTGTGTTTGTAACTTAATATTAATAATCTTACTAAGTATCAGTAAATAAGTACGTGTGTTAGTATTAATTTTTTTTCTTTATTTTAGGTTTGTCAACGTCTCCTCGACGATGCTCCTGCCACCTGCTTTCGCTCCAGACTTCTTTCGCTGGATCGCCTTCTGTTCCTCAAGATGGGCGAGTACGGTCTCCTAAATGAAAACGAGGAGTAGCTTCTGCTTTCTCTTTTTCTCATCCTCATGGTCTCATTCCATACGAAATGGATACGATTATGACGAAGTGACCTCGTCAGTTTGTATGGCCGACTCTTTATATGTGTTCGATGTTAAAAATTCTTCTATTTCGTAGGGGGCATTTAGATTCGTTCTAGATGCACCGGTCATCGTACTGTCATCATCATCGGTGTCTTCGTCTGTGGATAAATCTCGGTAAGCTGACATGTACAAAGGGTCGCTCAAATTCGTAGATGAAATCATGGGCCATGAATTAGACGACGAATCGACGTCGGTCCTGCTTTCACGTCTTCGGCTCAGCGTGTCGCTCGTCAAAGGTAAATTTATGTTATTCGACGATGACAGACTGGTTTCTTTCACAGTTTCGTTGCTCTTTGCCTGATCATTTAGATTCAGTTTGAATCGTGTTTGCAGAAGCGGCTCACGATGTGGCCGCATCTGACTCGAGCTATTAATACCGATCAATTTGCCGTCCGGTCCGCTCAGCACGTATACATTCGTATGAACATTTTTCTCCACGAGATACGGTCCATGATAGATCGAAAGGAGCTTGTACGCCTTCGGATGTTCCGATTCCCCTTTATTATAGGTCCTGATCCACACGAGATCGCCGGGCTCATATACATCGTATAAACCGTTCTCGATGGCCTGAGCGAGTTTCTTGTCAGCCGTGGCCTGCATGATAGCCCGCGCTTCTTGCACTCGTATCAGTCGTTTCGCCTCCTTTTCGTTAAACGATGACAGTTCGACATTGTCTCGTTCCTCTTGGAGTGGTCTCAGCTCCGCCGGTAGTTCGACAAAGCTGGTATTCGGTAGGATCTCGGTATATCCTCGCTCTAGCTGGTTCGGCGCGAACCCGGTGGTGGAATGCACGGTCGCGTTGATCACCGCCTCTAGTCTGGGCAAGATCCTGTCCCAGTCCTGATGGTCAATCCTGGAGTAGGCGCGCAGAACTCTTTCCAGCTCACACAATACGTGTTCCACAGGATTGAACTTTGGATTGTACAGCGACATGCATCTTGTGCGAAACCCGAGTCTCTCAGCGAACTGTTTCCAGTATTTCGTGATGAATTGTACGCGGTTGTTGGTCAGTACAACTTTAGGTACGAGTTGACGTTTACGTATGTAATCGAACTCGATAATCTCAGTGATGGATTCAAGATTCTGGTTCGTCGTCGGATACAACTTGGTGTGTTTCGAGAAGTGATCTATTAAAATGATCACGTAGACGTTTCCTCTGTGAGAACGCGGTAATGATCCGTATAAGTCGATCGAGATCATTTCCCCCGTATCGAATACTTGATCATCATGCGGTTCTGCTATCGCCTTCGTATAAATTTTCGAGGCGATACAGATGCGGCACGAAGCTACCACATCTTGCACAAGACTCGTAACTCTGTGAATGGCGAAGATATCATTGGCGAAAGCGAGCATTTTCTCGGTCCCGAAATGCGCGAGATACTCGTGAATTTTGCGCACGAACTCCCACGCCACGTGATTTGGCACAATTATTTTGTCTTTGCGCTCGATAGGCAAATTGACTCGAACGAGTCCATCTCGCATTGGAAAGTTTTGCGGATTGTCGCGATGTAGTTGCAACGTCAAGCTGTCTTCGCTCTGAGCTTTTCGTAGAAAGTCGCTCCATCCGGTCGGATCGGCGCCGTTGTCGTGATTGATGACCAGCGACATTATTGTCGATGTCGTCTTCTTCGTAAGCTCCTCTGTTGTAGTTTCTTGGATTCTCACCGTTTGCCAGTTATTCGATGAAAATCGCTGCTTCCCCAGCCTCTGTTTTTTTAGTAATGGTGAACGCACATCCGCCATGTCGTTGTTTCGTCTTGAAATGTGTTATATCTATAAACCGAATTACTAGAATAATTTCATTAATTGGTTCTTCTCTTTCTTAGATAAATTTTTCGAGTCTTTTTAAATCTGAAATTGCTGTGGAAACAGAACTACAGAAAGATAAATGCGCACAATAAATTTATTCGACGAAATAGGACTTCGAATTATTCGAGATAAGTAGGTAGGTGGTATGTTTATCTTCTTGTAAAAAATCTTTATTTATCTTTCTTTCTTTCTTTCAGGAAGATAAACTAAAATTCGAATGTGTGACAGTTCTTATCTGTTCTTTAAACTACAGGTATGTTTTATTTTTAAGTTGTCTACCTAAAATTTCACCCAATTCTGGCAAAAGGTAACCCAGTGAAAATAAGTTAATCAAAATGATGTCAAATTGCCATCAAATTGATGAAGGATATGACGTCAAAATGAGTGATCAAAATGACGGCAGAAATGACTGCAAAACGTCCCATTAATTGATGGTTATTTTGACTATTATTTTGATGTCATTTTGATAGCAATTTGATGTCTAAGTAAAAATGTACACCAATGAACACCAAGCAACAGTAACATAACACCGATGTTATAATTTCTCACTCAACAATATAAATGCAATAATGTATTATGTAAGTTACATAGTTAAGTGGGACATTATAACATCGGTTTTATGTTACTGTTATTTGATGTTCACTTGAGTACTTTCTGTAGGAAGAAATGCTAGATTATATGGAATAGGAGCACAGACAAATTAAATGAGTGCCAGTGAACTATAGTTGCGATTGAACTCAGCCAATAATATTATTAAAATTGAAGCATAACCCTACCTAAATAGATAATTTGATTGGCTGTAGGCAATTGCAACGTGGGCAAACGGGACGCTTCCGACAAATTAAATACAAAAATATTATATATGATTTTTTATTCTGGTGTAGTCAGTTACTAAAAG